ATTGCATAAGCAATACTAGTCCCCTACCGGCAAGTGTAATCTGGTTCCCTTTAAAAATTGAAAATGCCATAATTCCGTCAAAAATCAATGAAGCGGAACGAAATGCGAACTTGATCTATAACTCATCAAGGTAAAGTCACATGTCAAAAATCAGCTCAATTTCTGCAAGTGTTTAGAAAAAAGTGCGGAAAACCCTGAAAATTTGAAAAGGCTGTGATTCCGCCAAAAATCATTGAAGCGGAACGAAATGCGAACTTGATCTGTAACTCATCAAGATACACTCACATACCAAAAATCAGCTTAATATCTGCAAGCGTTTAGAAAAAAGAGTGTGGAAAACCAAGTGGGACAGGCTGACAGACAGACAGAGGGACAGCTAGACAGACAGACAGACGGACGGACAGACTCAGAGGAAACCTATAGTCCCCTCCGGTTTCACCGGTAGGGGACTAATAACGTACTTGCCCTCTCACATAAATCTTGTATTTCCAAGATAAATATCGCTTTGGTTGTAGTTGTTAAGAGCAAAAAAGTAAATCTTTTAATATAAATGTTAAGAAATCCTTATCTATTTAGGTTCACGTTACTGTGAAATCATATTGAGTAAGTCCGTTAAATATCTGGGGGTAGCCTTAACATACCCGCGTATTGATAACAATGAATATTTTTCAAATATATTCTAGGTAATTTCTGCTTTTTTCTTATTATGCCCTGTTCACACGGAGAGTTTGATTCGAATTAAACGTAAGTTACTGCGAATTAAATTTGAACCTCGTTCACAGGAGAATTCAATGCTAATTATTCTAATTCGAATTAATTTACTGCGAATCAAATTATTTTGCATAAGCTCCCGCTAAGCAAAGCTAATTGGAATTAAATTCTGACGCAATTTACGTAATAGCAAAATTAAGCCACGTGCCATATGTCGGTAATAAGATATCAGCACTTATTCTATTTTAAGTGAAAAACAAATGACGTCATTATATATAGCCTTACTACATGTATACAGAATTAAAATTTTAAAGGTGCTTGGACACAGATCTGATGTTGATATTTTCTCAAATTTTCTGTATAATTTCATGACGTATATGTTGCTATAGCATTTCATACTAAAATATAATAAAAATCTTATTTCATCTCGAAGTTATTGAAACTTCGAATTTCTGGACGCGTTTGATTGACACATCCTTGCACTTTCACAAATTTTAATTTTATTCTTAATACTTAAGAAAAGTGGCAATTTTGTTGTGTACTAATGAAAAATATTAAAACTATAATCCAGAAAATTCAGAGTAGAAATGTTCGAAAGCAAACCCCACTCACAGTATTGTCAGTCCGTGCTCAGTGGTGTGTGCAGACTTTAACAATTGAACACACCCGGTGAATCGTAAACATTAACAATAACAGAGCTCGTGCCCTGTTTACAAAAACAGTTTACGTTCCACGGGTGTATTCAATTTGTTAAACTCTGTACACAACACTGAGCACGGGCTGACGATATTCGTGAGGGGGTTTGCTTTCGCACATTTCTACTCTGAATTTTCTGGATTATAGATGTAATGTTTTTCATTAATACACAACAAAATCGCTTCTTTTCTTAAATATTAAGGATAAAGATAAAATTTGTGAAAGTGCAAGAATGTGTTAATCAAACGCGTCCAGGAATTCGTAGTTCAAATAATTTCCAGATAAAGTAAGTTTTTAATTATATTTTCGTGTGAAATGCTATTGCATTATATAAGTCGAGATATTATACAGAAAATTTGAGAAAATATTAACTTCAAATCTGTGTCTAAGCACCTTTAATTTGCTTTAGTTTACTTAAGAGATGATAAATATGCAGGTGTGAAGCGTTGTAGTTCAAGTACCTCATGAATTCTCAGAAATCAAATTCATTTTTTATATTTACATTATTTTTCTAATGACTTGACACATATTTTTGTCTTTCAACGATCATTTTTTGAAAAAAAGAAAAAAATCCACTATTTTTTGACTTCAATAACATCACAATGGAAATATTCCTATACTCATCGCACGGTAGATCACGAGAACGTAAACTTTTTCTAATTTGCAAGGAATCTTACGGGAAAATATTTGAAAATGTAAATCTTTTGCATTTACTACCGTGTGAACGCAGTTTAGTTCGCATTAGTTTAATTTGCATCATTTTACTTCTCATTAATTTACTGTGAATCAAATATTTAATGCGCAATCGTGTGAACAGGCATAAGTTTGATGAAAATTTGTTCAGCAATCTCTTACTTGTAGACCGTCACGGTAGCTCAGTCGGTAGAGCGCTCGCTCCGTGATCGGAAGGTCGTGAGTTCGAATCTTGGCCGCCACTGACCTAAGTCGATAAAAAATAGGTGGCAACTGTTACTTCGCCAAGAGCTCGGCACTTTGAAGTGAAAGTTGCGGGTCCTTCGGATGAGACCTTAGAAACTGAGGTCCCGCGTGTCACGACAGGCGTTGGCAAGATAAAGAACCCTCACTGCTCAATGGCCCTGAGTGCTGAGTAAAGGTCTAAATTTGAAGCCCTTCACTGGTATATGGTGACGTCTCTATATGAGTGAAAAATTCTCGAATGGGACGTAAAACAACATACAATCAATCAATCATCTTACTTGTAGTAGCTGCACATTGGAATGTCCCTATAGCCATCATAGTAATAATACATGTAACAGGAACCTGCAACATTCTCTGGAAGACGAATGACACAACATTTCACATTTTTCTATTTGTCTTATTAATATCAGAAAGGAACATCGATTGCTCTCTGACACACAATCTCTTAACTTCGATAATGTTTTATTATTATTATTATTATTATTATTATTATTATTATTATTTGTTAGATAATCTGAATGGTGTTTACATTTATCTTAGATTCACTTATTTACATAATACGCAACTTGCATTCCAAAAACAGAATGTAATAAACCATGATATGTTTTTATGCTTTAAATAATGATTAAAAGTAAATGTTTCTCTTTCTTAAGGTTTGTATGTTTCTTTTACTCACCTCTATAGATTTTTTTTTTTTTAAATAGATTTACATCAACATTAACATTTCAGTTTCCTAAAGAATGTGGAAATTTGCTACCTTATTCTTGTATGTATCAGAAAGATTTATAATTTGAATAAAAGTTTTTCGCCAAAACTTTAAAATCCATTTGAGAAATAACCAGTGTTACGGGTACTAAAGAGAAACTTAATAATTAAAAAAAAATATCAACAACATAACCTATACTTACTATATACTATAAGCAAAAGCAAAATACCCAGTTTCAATGTAAATTCCATCATGTTTTTCACTTTCTCAATTTTGCTTGAAATAACCTCTTACTGTTTATATAATCTACACGGAAGAAAAGGCATGCACATATTACGTAAGTTAGATTAAAAACCTAGATTTGATATAATTCACCTAAGAAAGACTTGGTATGTGTTCATTCTGATGATTTACTTTTAAATAAATTAAATAAAATAAACGGTATTTTGGTGATAACATTGTGGGGAATAGATAAGGAAACAAAACTTACATAAGATTCAGATTACAAGAAAGGAATTATGTGAAATGTATGACATACAGGTAAAATTCATTCATAAATATTGGAGGAAAATCAAACTATACTTATTGTAGTATTTTAACATCTTTTAATTCATCATTTTTCGCGAAAAAAGTACAAATATTTCAATTCTAACATTAAGTAAGAGCTTCTATCTAAGATAAAGAGTTAAAAAATATTATTTGATTGATTTCCATCGTTGATCACGAGTAAATTTATAAAGTGCATATCATGTTAAATGTGCGAATCAAGTAAGTAATCGATACTCTCTTTTTGAGTTATACATGTACTCTGTGTTGTGTAGATTGTATTATAAAGGTCAATGAAATGTAAAGATAACGAACAGTGTTTATGTTCAAAAGCCCTATTAAAGATTACAAATTGTGAGCAGGACAGACAAGGACCTCTCTTAAAATGCAAGAGATGCGATCAGGAGGGAGTAACCATTCCAAGTTGACTAGACACATCAATTGAAAGCCCCTTGTCAAGATCGGGTAAACATAGAAAATTGAGTATGAAAAAATGGCCTAACAATTTGCATTTAAAAGGTAAGTCAACATTCGACCTAAAGACAGATAGTAGTTAGAAACACGGTCATTGAATCCACTTTAGAATTTGCACAATGTTGCCTTGAAACGAAATTTTATTGATACCCATGTATCATCAACTTATTGGTCAGTAGCTGCCTCGTTTCATAAATTCTTTGTACATAGATTGGTATAACGACTCAACTTGGAGGCATGAACACCACATGCAGGTGATGATTGTATATTGCTGTATGAATAAGGGAAGCTAAGGATAGAAGAATTGAAGTCATCACGTTCATGAAAAAGTTTAGTTGTTGCCATCAGTGTCTTTCTCAAGTAAAACACTTTGAGAGCTAATCATAACCTTAAAATTTATTGAATGTCGGATATCAAAAGAGCAGATTTCTTTTTTGGGGGAAAAAAATTTCCGGTGTGCTAATTTTGCGCCAATGTTCTCGTATTTGTCACTGCATGAAAATTTGGCTTTACAAAACAAGTAAAGATAATGTAAATTTATTATTTACAATGCCTTTAATTGGCTTTTCTGAAAAAAGTCAAAGTTGGAAAAGGTAACCTTTACATTAACTTTACATGCACTTAAATATGATGTAATGTCCCACATTGTCTTGACTTTACAAAAAAGTAAAGTTAATATTTACAAACATTAAACACAGTATTTGGGGTACATTAAATCTGATAATTACAAATATTAAATTTAATTAAATACCATCTTTAATAGCCACAAAAGTTAATTACTGTTTTCCATTCTTTTGAATAAAGCTTGTGTATATGATAAATAAGCTTTTTCTTCCAAATTGAAACTGCAAAAGAAGTCTGGACATCATACTTAATATACAAAGTAACAACAGACTGACTTAAACTTTGTTTATTACTATACTAAACATTTTTATACAAACATATAATCAACAACATCAAATTTCTTGACAGTATCTGTTGTACATAGTCTATCCTGCAAATCCCATACACATAGATAAGTATCCAGGACAGAGTACATTGCACTAAAATCCTTTTCAAACATGTCATTTTGTTTTATAAAGAACCAATTGTTCATCCTTGAATTTAAAGATTTGAATTGACATGCAACTGTGCTCCACTTTTATGTCACTCGACATGCGTTTCTGTGGAAATCAACAACTGTCCAAATATATATTTTGTCACATATTCCTTTTCAGAGTCCAAAACTTTTATTCTCATGCAGGCAGTCTTCTACTGTTTTCCTTAAAAGAAAAAAAATATATATATTTTCAGTGACATGAATATTTTCATAGGCATCTGTGTTATAAATTCAAATAAACTGTGATATCAGTATTCACAGTATCATGACTAATGAAAATTGAAATGAGATGCAACCATATTAATACATGTAGATAAAAATTTCATACATGACCTTTAACCTCAAAAAGAAAATATTTTGAACCATTAATGTCAGCCTTTATTTTTACCAAAAAGACTATGTTAATCTTATTAAATAAGACAGATACAAACTGATGAACATGTTGCTATTAACTTATTTTATGATATAAATGGACTGGGCCACTAGCCTTTATCTTACCCCTAAGATTGAAATTTAATAACTCTGTAATTTCTTTGTTTATCATCACCTAATATTTCTTTTGAAAGGATTATTTACAAAATATACTAATGTAGGAGTAAAATAAGATTTCTCGTGACCTTCTGTAGCCAAGATACTTTTGCAGAATTGAGAAAATGTTTGTCTTACTTGCAAGATAATTTGTGAAAAAGAACTGGCATCAGTATCTATGAATAATTACTGAACACATATAATTAACTCCATTTTCCTTCTTAGTCATCAGGTAACAAAAAGACCAATAGTTGCTGCTTATAGAGCTATAGTATGATATTCAAGTTATGGTTTAGGATATATGTACCTTTCTCCCAGTAGCATGTTGCCGCTCATGAATTATTTCCTGATCTTGGAATTGTAAAAGTTGACAGGTCCCTCATTTTGAAGATAACATGCTAAAATGGAATTTATACTTTGATAAACATTTCATACATCTGGATAAATATAGTCAATGTTTTCATAAATACTTTTGAGTTTGAAGCATACCAAAGAATGATTTTAAAAATACACAATGCAATCACAGTTAATAGTTATGAATTGCCAAACACCCTTATGTTTGTTTTCTTCACAATTAAAGAATACTTTAGCTCTAAGCAACACTTGCCATCTATAAAATTAAATTCTTGAACTCTTCTCAAGTGTTTCTCCTTCATGAAAGATATGTCAATAAGGTGTTAACTCTCTCACAGTAAGCTGAGTAGCTGGAGCCTGGAAAAAGTAATAACACATTTTTTGAAAACAGAAATGTATAATTATACTGACTCCTGAAAAAGTCAAGCAATTGATAATTTAAATAATTGTTTAAGTAACATTTTTATGATATTATTTATTGATTTTTTAAAAACTAATATGTACAAGTACCGTCAAAAAAACATTGGGATCCCTTGGTCTGGTAAATCATACATTGTTGTCATCCATGACTTTCTTCAAGAACCTGCATAATTGATTTCACTGTACCTGTTTTTGAAAATAGACATGGTTTAGAATACAAAATAATATCTATAAAATATAACCTAACTTGTACTCTATTAAAAACATTGCCATACCCTGGCTTCTACATTTTTTTTCCTAGCACTAATGTAAACAGCTAAACATTCTGAAATTGTGACCTAGAATTGTTTTCCTTGGTCTTGTTTAATCCATGATCATTTACAGAAAAAAAAATGGAACATTATCCCCAGTTTATCAAGTTACTTATCTAAAAACACATATTTAGCGTAGTTTTCCCTGACTTTCATCAGTTTCAATGTTTCACAATATATGCTGAAAACAGATGGAAAACGTAAACAAACCTGCAGTGCATGCCAGCCCGGGAGCTCGAACAGTTTTCCAAGCAATAAGATCCTTAAATCTTCTGGTAGATGAAAAGGTATCAATTCAACTGATCACTGGTTGCATATTTTCGTCAAAAATACCCAGAAAATACCGATGAGACCCGCTCAACTTGATTTGAAATGATTGGCTATTCGTTGGAATACACAGTGCCATATTTGGGTTACTGTTAAAAGTAGATCGTTCGTTTTGTATTCGAGAAGACTTGGATGAAGAGGATTACACAATACTGAGGTGGAAAACATCTGTATATATGATAAAATATATTTCAGTATTTTAAAGTAAAGGTTGTCAAATGAACGGGATATATTACTGATATTACCTCTTATAAACAAAACTAATAAGCGTAGGACTTATTCAGGGCATTTGCAATGTATGGGAACCAGTCTACGAGGCAACAAAAATTCCGCCAAGAATAAAAAAAGAGATTGCGAGATGTTTTTTTACGTGTGTCACTCGACACTGACTGCAAGGTAATGAAAATGTGCTTATTTTTTGTGTATAACTGTTTTCTGTCTTTCAAGATATTGAACAACAGTCGTTTAACATTTAGACGAAACATCTAGGGGAGGGAGGGAAGAAGAGGGGTCACCTCTCAAGTTGTTGCATCTACTATATAGTGGTGATATCAGTGTCTGGATATAATAAATTAAAATGGAAAAAATCATAATAAAAATTTTGTTATTGATTTAGGAAAGCTAAATAAAGGGGCGACTATTTTTTGTTTCATGCGGGGGAGGGGGGGGGGGTTAAAATATATTAACCTCAAAAATGTTTAAAAGATATGGGTACAGCCCACTAATTGTTTTCCCATAGGCGGCAATGTTAACATTTCTTCACATAGCAATGTCCCTAATTTTCGTTCAGCATTGAGTGATCCCTCAAATCAAAGCACATCAAGTTGTCTTTCCTTGGTTAAAATCTCGAGGTGGCATGTCAGATTCGTTTTCCGGCAAAATGCGTCTGTCTGCGTTAACCTCTGAAAATGAAAGTGAAAGTAGGGGATTTCAAGACTTCTCACTGGTGTTATAATACATAAAATAATTCTGCTGATCTTCTTGATAAATTACATCTGCCAAGCTTTTTTGCAAGGGAACATACTCCTTATCAACAAGTATGAGGCTCAGTTTAATACCTTATCACAGTTTTTTTTTACTCAGGTCTGCAAATTAAAGAACTTGTAATTTTTTCTGCACTACTTTCTTCTCCTACCGATTCTAAAAATAATTAGAGGTATGTACCCAATATGAAAAGAATTTTCTGGATTTTACAACATTTAACATCATAAGTCATACTACAGACTATGTAGTGACATTATGCCAAATTTCAGGAAAATTCAATCATTAATAAAGATTTTACAGCATGCACAGTTCTATATGCGAAATTCTTTTAAAATGCTTCCATCTAGCCACAACTGCACCCAGATTTTAAGTCATCGGTTAGCCTATTAATGTACTTTTACCATTTTTATTCTCTTTCATAATTTTAAATACATCAAGCAAAATCATAATCAAGCACTCATACGGGTCCATTTCTCTTATTTTAAAAAATCAATGCATTTTTGCACAAAATTTTATATCCCTCACCCTTGAATTCATTGTTTCTCCATGATTGACAAAAAAATTAAGTTTACAAATACCCCGAAAGTAGTAAAAATAGAAAGTACTGATTATTTCCTGTCCATTGATGCATCATTCAGGAAAATTGGTATAGGAATAAAGAAGTTATGAGCCCTTATATTCTTGTAAACATTCATCTGTTTCAAAGCAATTTTTACGCCAATGCAAGGTCACTCATCTATGACGTCATAATGACATCATAATAATGGATTGCTTATTACACATGTAGTGTTACTTTTCCCGTACTTTTAATTAAAGTTGAAATTAGAACTAAAATATTCATTATAACTATAAAATAACAAAAATACTTGCATGAGCAGATCAAATAAATAGTCTACAGAAAATGTTTTGTTTCCATGGTAACCATTTTGTAATTTGTAGGAAAATGAAAGAGAACTTTGAAAGTTTTGAATTTCCTTACAAGTCGCTCATTCTGACTGACAAATATTAAAGAAATTTCAACTCTTATATTTTTTAATCTTAATATTTTATCATACACAACACTATGAATGTAACTGTTTTGAAATTCTCTTTAAAACATATTAGCTGTAAAACATATAGCATACATGCACAGAGTAGTTTGATGTTCACTTTCATTGCTCAAATATTCATTTAAAATCTACATTTACTAAGCTTTAACACCCCCCCCCCCTCCTCCCGCACACACACACATACACACAAAGAAGCTTTAGAAAATTCAACTTACATATTAAAAGCACTGCCATCATTTTATATATGAAGACTCAAGCTGTGTTCAAATGAGTTTGTTTTTCCTGACTGATAGTTTTAAACACCATCTGCATGAACCTCAAAGTTAACCTGTATCACCATGAACCTAAAAAAAAATCAATTTAAAAAATGGTGCAATAATTAATCAGCATCAAAAAGCACCTAAAACATTCACAGACAGACATCAAACACACACAATCCTACAACATTCCCTGATGCCCTTAATTTGATATCAATTGAAAATTATGAATTTGCACTGATTAGTCTCAGCATTGTTAAATTACATGTAAATTAATAATACAGGTAAAAAGCATGTAACTGACAATAATTATACATTAGACAAATACATGTAATCCAGTTAATAAAATATAAAAAAAAAATGTTAGTGTGCATGTTCACACACACACTGCTTAACTTCTACACAACTGTAGCCTGACCGACTTCTTTGAAAAAATGCACATGTATGTCCTCGTTCATGTAATTCTATTCCATGAAAATAAAAGTTTTCATTTACAAATATTGTAATAAAGCATGGAAACCTCTTTTTTCTTTACCTCTTTCATAAAATGACAAATGCATATCACCTACATACTGCAAGACTCTGCATTAGGTAGCATAGCTGCACTAAGCAGTGTTGATAACTTACTGCCATTCTACTTTCACTTTGACCTTGAACTTCACTGAATACTGATTCCGACCTCATTTCTGAACTTTTGTGTATTGATGATAAACAATAGTGGTGGATGTACTTCTAAAATAATTGTTCCTTTTCTAAATATCTATTAATGGCTCGGAATTAATAAATTGTATAGAATCGATACATTTAATTTACATGCTACATGTGTACACAATGGGAGATATGCGCATAAGCTGTCTGTTCCTAAAAGGGGGGGGTATTAACAAATCGATTTGTTTCAAAATATGTATAAACAAATTAAAATTTGCTTCTTTCATAAATTTAAACAATTGGAAATGATAGTAAACACCGAATTCAAAACAAAGTAAAGATCTATGAGAATTTTCTCTTACCAATAGGCTTCACATATTGGGTACAGCCCACTAATTGTTTTCCCATAGGCGGCAATGTTAACATTTCTTCACATAGCAATGTCCCTAATTTTCGTTCAGCATTGAGTGATCCCTCAAATCAAAGCACATCAAGTTGTCTTTCCTTGGTTAAAATCTCGAGGTGGCATGTCAGATTCGTTTTCCGGCAAAATGCGTCTGTCTGCGTTAACCTCTGAAAATGAAAGTGAAAGTAGGGGATTTCAAGACTTCTCACTGGTGTTATAATACATAAAATAATTCTGCTGATCTTCTTGATAAATTACATCTGCCAAGCTTTTTTGCAAGGGAACATACTCCTTATCAACAAGTATGAGGCTCAGTTTAATACCTTATCACAGTTTTTTTTTACTCAGGTCTGCAAATTAAAGAACTTGTAATTTTTTCTGCACTACTTTCTTCTCCTACCGATTCTAAAAATAATTAGAGGTATGTACCCAATATAATCTCATCTCAACTGAAAAGAATGATTAATAATCTTTCCTTGTCTGATGCCATTATTCACTTTACCTCACTGAAATAAGAGTTTCTGAGTCAGTTTATTTTTTCCTTTTTGTAATGGGGGGGGGGGGTCAAACTTTGTTCATTTAAGATAAACATGAATAATCTGTCCCTCATTATTAAGGAAATCAAATATTTTGTTCATCAATGATTGGAAAATAATTAATCCGACTTAGCTGTCAAAAAATTACCTTTTCATAATTCATCTTTTGTAGAAACAAAGAGTGGAGAGCTAATGCATGGTGCTAAGTATGGAAAGGTCTCTTGTGGTTTGGTTGTGCCAGAGACAAATGTGCATTATTTCCATGTTGGGTAATGTCCTTAAGAATGGAATTTTTTTCAAATACAAGGGACATGACTTTTTTCATACATTATCACTGTACAGTGATCAAAATATTTTTAAACATTGTTAGATACTCACTACATTATTTCATCTTCAGAAAAGTATTTAAATTATTTTCTCACATTTTTTAAAGAGACCAGTGTGGTGAAGAGATTTTTTTTAAATTTTAATCTTGAATTTTGATATTATACAGGTCAGAAGTTTCGGTACACTTTAGGTGAGTGGCAGTTGGGTAGATGGATGACCTTCAGATAGTTTGAGATGAAGAAGTTCTTTTAAATGGTTGAAAGTGATCATCATAGAATCAACTCCATTATGAAGATAAATTATGAGAGTCAGGTGAGGAATTGACTTCAATGTGTTATCACATTGTGTAAATGAATCTTTATTATAAAGATCTTTTACATTTTATTTTTGAACTTGTTTTTCTATTATTCTAAACTTCCAAAAATAAGATTAAAGTAGTTAAAGCATGCTACAGACATTTAACGTATCTTGGCAAGTTTTCAAGGTTATTGCAGAAGTGCTTTAATTTCAAAAGATAACTTATTAATGCAAACCTGGAAAAGAAATGGATGTTATTCTCTATAATTTTAAAGATTATGTTTATTATTAGCACTTCTTTTGTCCAACACCTGAGAGATCTGAGTACCCAGCCTACTGTTGAATTAATTGGTGACCAAGAAAAGATGACAGAGAGGGGAATCAAATATGGATGCCATCATGATCAAGAATATATATAGATGAACATTCAAGCATTTATAATAATGAAAGTCATTCAGCAAGAGAGGTTTTTGCACAAGTTTAATTTTCAGTAAAATTGTGTATATTGTGCACTGAGGAACTTAGTATGTAACTCATTATGATTATCCATTTCTTTAGAGGATGTATTCGGAGTATATTTAAATAATCATTATCTTCTAGAAAAGAGCACACAAAACTTTTCTCTCTGTGCGAAGCATGACACATATGCATACACTCCAGCATTTACCACAACCACAGTTACATATTTTCCAGGGCGTTTGAAATCGAGCACATACATGAAAATGTGTTAAGCTGGACACATATGCAAACACACAAGCATCTATCACAACCAATTACATATTTTCCAAGGCGTGTGAAGTCGAGCACATACATGAAAATGTGTGAAGCTGGACACATATGCAAACACACAAGCATCTACCACAACACCAGTTACATATTTTCCAAGGCGTGTGAAGTCGAGCACATACATGAAAATGTGTTAAGCTGGACACATATGCAAACACACAAGCATCTATCACAACCAATTACATATTTTCCTAGGCGTGTGAAGTCGAGCACATACATGAAAATGTGTGAAGCTGGACACATATGCAAACACACAAGCATCTACCACAACACCAGTTACATATTTTCCAAGGCGTGTGAAGTCGAGCACATACATGAAAATGTGTGAAGCTGGACACATATGCAAACACACAAGCATGTACCACAACCAATTACATATTTTCCAAAGCGTGTGAAGATGGACACATATGCAAACATAATCTCCTACCACAGACGCAATACACATAAAATTTAGTCCAAAGTATAAAGTCAAGCTCAAACAGGCTCACTGCGTGACGCTGGACACATGCATTTACTTATGCATCTTGCAAAACTACATCTGAACCTATATTCTAATAGGTGTTTAAGCAATTTTGTGTAAATAATGTAAATTGCACCATTATGCTTACAAGATGTCAACATTATTAACCTGTACATAAATACTCATTAGATAGCCTTTAATAGTTTTAGTTGGAAATACTTGTACTTTGCCTGATTTATGTTGTGTAGTTTCTCGTCAGTGATCTTGAGTAATAACTGAGTATGGCATTTTTAGTTCCATTTAAACTGCAAAGTTTTAACACATGTACATGCACCATAAAGGATAAATAATATTGTATTGTATTTTAACCTTTTTTAATTTTATTCTCTGTCATTTTATTGCCTGTTCAAGTAAAAGATGTAATCTTGTAATGTTTGTAACTGTTTTTGGTAGATATTTATGAAGCAGAAATTATAACAGAAAAGGTTTCAATACATCTACACAAGAAGCAAATAAAAAAAGAGTTCTCCATCTATCAGATATCAGCAAATCAGATGAGTTAAAGGTTAAGTCATAGGGAATTTTAAAGTTTATTATATCTATAGTCTGATAACTGATACCATTTTTACATTTTTGATTGTCCATCTACAGTATACAAAAATAGTATAAATTTTTATATTTTGTAGATGACAATCTCTAATACTAAATAAACTGGAAATTGATATAACGCTTGAAAATTTGTGTATTTTTAGTAAGATTGAGGTGTGGGTAACACAAAAGACACATCAGATACCTATTTATTTTAAAAGTCAAAAACCATTTGTTGAAATCTTAAGTACGAGTGTATTAAGCAAAGGCCAGTATTTAAATAAGGATTTAAGAAAGTTTCATATATATATATATATATATATATATATATATATATATATATATATATCAACTTTAATGCAGCATTAAAGGTGAAAGGTTAAATTTAATTACCTTTTCTTTTAAGTAAAGGTTAACTTTTCACCTTTACTTTTTGTAAAGTTAATACAAAGATGACCTTGCTTTTTGGAGCACCTTTAATGAGATTTACTTTGCAAGTAAAGTTTTGTAAAGCTATTTTTTCAAGCAGTGTGTGAACGTACCTTAATTTCTTATTTTACAGTAGATAATGCTTAATTTTTTAATAAAGTTTCAATGGCATAATTTTGTATAGATTTTTTGAAAGATAAAACAAAGACAGAAAAAGTTAGTTATTTGAATTGTTTTACTTTCCAATAGACATAGGATTTTAAAATGCAAATACAATCAGGTTCATCAGAACAACTGCATTCAAGAGAAACTGGTCTTCAATTCCGCGTCTGTTAATCCAATTTATACTAAATGTTCCTTTTCAAAATGGTAATTTCAATGAAAAAAATTCATCCTTCCAACGAAAATTCCTGCATCCGCGTGTGATCTTGTTATGCTACACATTCACAGAAATGATATTGTTTGTCATCTATGATCTGACAATGCTTTTAAAAATGGAGCATGTCAGAAAAGAAAAATAAAGAACTTACTTTTCAAGAATAAGCGTATAATGGTTAAATTTCGCTCAAAGGAGCATTTCATGTTTTAAACAGAAACAAGATGTGTTTGTGAGACACTGATGCCCCCGTATGTCAACTTATAGGGAACTTTGACTTTTCTCAAACGCAAATCAAATATGTTAGTACCCAAAGTAAGGTCTTATCTCGAGAAATATACCTGTGAAATATGAAAACCCTAGCAGCAGCCATTGAAAAGATATGGAAAAGGTTAAAGTTTTTCAAAATGAGTCAAACATCAAGGTCATGATCAAATGGTCAAAAATTAATGGTGCCCAAGGAAAGGCCTTCTCACAAGAAATACACAGGTGAAATATGAAAGCCCTAGCACCAACATTTAAAAATCATGGCCAAGGTTAAACTCCAAGGTCAAAAGGTCAAAGTTGTTCGTATACAAAGTAAGGACTTGTCACAAGTATTACATTTTTGAAGTATGAAAGCCCTAGCTTCAACTATTCAAAAGTTATGGCCAAGGTTAAAGTTTGCCAAAAGAAGGTAATACTCCGAGGTCAAGGTCAAAGAGTCAAAGTTCTTGGTATCCAAAGGAAGGCCTTGTCACAAGTATTACATATGTGAAGTAAGAAAGCCCTAGCACCAACTGTTCAAAAGTAATGGCCAAGGTTAATGTTGGGTAAAATTTTCCAAAACTGGGTCAAACTCCAAGGTCAATGTCAAATATGATGGAGGTCTTGTCACAAGGAATATACATGTGAAATATGAAAGCCATAGATCCAACCAATCAAAGTTATGGGCATTGTTAAAGTACTTGCAGACAAACAGACAAAAAGACAGACAGGGCAAAACTATATGCCCTTGAATCTTCGATTACGGGGGCATAAAAAATGCTACTCTCATTAAAAAGAGAATCGCTGTCCTATATCACGTACAACCTAGGAGCTTGCGAGAGCATCGCCCTTATATGTGTTACAATCAATCTTTTCTTATATCAACAGATATTCTCAAGAATAAAAGGCTTACTGCTCATCAGACTAAGATATCTATGTCAACCGCAGTGAAGATTAAAGTTTGCTTAGCTCCAGGCACCGGGGCCTCGAACGTCATATTTAACACTCAAATTTCAGTTGAGATAATTTTATTTTTCTCTGCTGATTTTCAACTTAAAACGTATGCCATGAACGCTGAGGAAACACATCTCAGCAGAGAAACAAAACTCTATGTTTGTACAGTCTGTATGGAACGCCAGTCTATGCAACATAGAAGGGGTTTCATTCGATCCAGTATTAAAGTACTGTACTAAAGAAAATTCCAGTATTGCATGTAGATTGAGCACTAACGTTTCAAGCACCCCTGTTCCAAAAATAATACCAATTTGGAGGGATTTGGAGCGGAGAATTCTTTTATGAGAAGGTGTCAAAATAAAGACATTTTTTTTTGGAAAATTTAAAGCCTCTGAAAAAAGGAATGATCAAGAGATGGATAACAAAAATTGAAAGTTATGTCATTAACAAAACAAAATTGCACATCACAAAACATTTACATTATGTGTAATTTTTAATATGAAATCCTTTGGAAATCTACAGCATTCAATATCCTATAACACAACCTTGTCACTCGCGGTAGAATACATAGTAGGGACTATATGCATTTTCAATACTTTAGGAACACCAAAATGTATATTACTTTGACTTAATTTAATTTAAAAATATTACCCTATTGAATTATCGTAATAACACAACAAATGTAAGTTTAAAATCAATTTGTCTTTTCTTCCATCGCAATAGTCATTTGCGTTATTTAACTTTCTACGTCATAAAAGGCGCTTACGTCTATTAATTACACCAGATCTGAAAAGCGCTAAATTCATAATAAAGATTGATGAAATTAGAATTTATGAAGAGAGAAAATTAGAGATTGCAAATATACGCACTGAATTTTTATTTTTGGATATCGTCGATCTTATAACATCACCTGTCCGTGTCGACAAATTATCATGCCGCGCTAACGCACGGTGTTCAATTTGTCGACACGGCCAGTGCTGTTATAGAACCAACGACATCTAAAAATGAGAATTCAATTTATATAAACTCATCAATATTATGTTTCAAATACATAAAAAATACATAGTGTGTTCCCTATCAACTTATCATAGTTTACAGTGGAAAATATCATTGCAGGAATAAAAGCAACATACATAATATATAAAATTTATTTCTCTTGCAAATTCAAAGATAAAACACACATCGGGATAACGCATTCATTCTAAAATATTTAAATTGAAGGAATTTCATATAAACAAGATTCAAATGCAGAAGCCAATTTAACACAATCTTTAAAAATGCAATATATATTAAAATACCTAATTTCATGCAATTTTTCGTCAAACATTGCATCAAGCAAACTTAATATCCAATCACTGATCATATCCGGTGTGCATGCGCAGTGTATGGGAACCGTCATGGGTTGTCATTGGATAACTCTGTTGATTTGGAATCTGCATCACAGGATTAGAATGTGCCGCTGTAAAAGTAAAGTCAGTGCAGCATTGCATCACGTCATGTTTAATAGAATGTTTAAAAACATATATCAGTTAAATTTATTGCAAACTCCCTAACACATTCAATGACATTTTCTTTCCAGTTCTTGAAAAGGAGAGAAAATTAAAATGTAGAGAAAAGATGTCACAGCCAGGCATCTGGGAAAGACGCTAAATTATGAACTTTCTGTAAAAATCTCGTTTTCGATTGATAAGGCGAAGAAGAGATATTTAAAGATTGCTCATAGAAACGAAAAGATTACATTATCGATATCATGCAATGCATATTTGGAATATTTAAATAGAAAGAAGACCGTCGATCCTAGATTAAAAAATTCAAAAAAAAAATGGAAAGGGGGGAGAGATCCATGCCTCAAGTGTCTGTAATCCAAATTGACTATTTTTTAAAGATAGAACACTACAACTGTTACAGTTATGTTTATGACTAATTAGTGAAAACAACTTATGTGGTTCCAACACAGAATCTTTCGACGAAAGTGAAAGCTAGTTAGAGCGTTTTCCTACTGTAATGAAATACTGTATTGAAATGTCATATTGTATTTTCATGTCTTTATAGCCTGGGAAAATAGCATTTGGATCACTTTTCCTTTGATCTTCATTTAAATTTTCAATGATCCCCTGTAAACAAGTATAAGAATAATGGTCCTCTGTGAAAATAGAATGTATATCGTTGTCAATTTAATAACCTTCTTACGTTAATTGTATGCAGTTTTACCTGTGTGAGTATAAAAAGGGGGGAAATTTTGAGTGAATATTCATACATCAATTTTTCCTTTAGGTTCACTGTTGGTATATTCAATCTATTGTAGTTTTGAAGGGGTTGTTCAGATACATGTACGAGCAACTTAAATCATCTCTCAGTTCAGAAATTGATTGTTGCAAGGCAATCATTTTTTAGTGCTTGTAAGACTCCATACTATAATTGCCGATGACAACCATTCCGTTTTGTTGATTTATATTTGGACTTATTATACCGTTCTTTTCGGATATTTTATGTAAATTTCCCAGACATTCTGCAAACTTTATATTCGATGCTTTTAAAACCCGTCAGAACTTCTCAAAAAGAACATTCTAATATAATTTATCTTCATTTATGTGCCTGTATATATGTATATTGTTAAAAAATTAACAGTGACATATAGGTCCTTTGGGCCGGGTGTAAAAAACTAAGTATATTGTTGTAAAATATACTGTATTACTGTATAATACACATGTCACTATAATAAATAATTTACTTACTTACTTACCAAAATGCGTTACACGAGTTCTGTATGATATTGGGTTTACTATGGCTTAGATATATAAGATAATGATCCACTGGACGTCTGTGTCATACTGTGATGAGTAAAAGTTCCCCCTATCGCACTTCTAAGTGCTTATTATATAAATAATTGCTATACCTGCTCCACCAGACACTACGCTAACATTGGATGGATTCTGTACGATGGTACCCGGTGTCTTTGTCCCTTCGGAACTTTTCCTGAATCTCCAACAACAGAATGCAATACAGTAAATGATGAGGGCGAAGCATGTTAGAGAACCAATCACCGCGCCTGCTATGGCACCCGCAGACCTGGAAATATCATTAGATAAAATTTATTTAAAATAATTAAAAATAAAACTAGTGTTATTTATCACATTTTATTGAATAAATCAAAAGGACTGGAAAAAAGTTCTTGCAAGTATTAGTTCCAATATGTCATTCAAAATAAGTCATTGAGGTTTACAAGTAATATAAGTGGATTTCTATAAGATAACTCAGGAATTAAAAATCTACAAATTCCATCAATAAATTTATGGACAGCAGCAATAATATTGTTTTTAATCCGTAAAGGCACATTTACATCACCCCCATGAGGACAGATTTGTATTATTAGTGATATTAGTGACCAATTCATCAAACATACATGTAAACAGACAATTACAAAGATTTTTTCTAGCATTTTAATAATCTATACAAGCAAAAAAGAAATGATAAAAGTCTTCGTATTTACATGAACAAAATGAACTGTTGATAATACTGCGTTAATATAGATCATATTTAAGTCGTCAGACAGTAGTGTCTTAGTTTAGTATAGATTATGTTTGTATATAGAATTTACTTAATGAAAAGTACATACGTTGGTAGATTTCTGACTTTTAAGCTTAAATATTTGTTTGAGATGGCTTTTTTCACTTCTGCTTTTATAAGATTCCACTTCTTCATAGCATCTGGTACGAAAGACTTTTTGAAGTTTTTCTACATCTTGGAACAATAATCTGTTTTTTTGTTGTTGTTTTTTTTTTTTTTTTTTTTTTTTTTTTGGATACATTTACATGCTTGTTTGGGACATCACTTTTAAAAATATTCAAAAACGCCCACTTTTTGAATTTTAAGCGTAGTCGTTACGTTATGTTTGCGATATAGCGGATTAACTGGATTTTGAAGTTTTCCAATCAGTTTAAGAGTAAAGTGATAATAGAAAGAAAAACCTATGACGATCTTCTTGTGGCAGCTAGTTGCACTTTTTCAAGGTTTTCAGCGTCCTGTTTGTTTCAGATTGACCTACTTTTCATTTTTTTTTACATTGGTAATAACTTTTAATTTCAGTTGAAATTTTGAAATTTGAGAGGAGATAGGGCTTTCTTTTTAATATTATCTGTAAAAACACCTTTCAGAAAGAACTTTTTTTGATTTCATGACCTTGACCTAGAAGTTTTACCTCCTTATCAAAACTCTAACTTACATGTAGTCCGTAACTTTGACACCAGAAGAGACAGGGCTTTCGTATTTTTTTTTACAAGTGCATTACTCTCATAACATTAAAAAATGAACTAAACATATTTTCACAGTTGCAAGTTGTATAGTCGATACAATGACCTTGTCTGCAAATACAATCTATCATTAAGTCGAATGCTGACAATCTAATTGGTACTAATTCATACTAATTGTTAGGCCATTATTTAAACACTGAATTATCTACAGATTTTTCCCTTTGCCTGATCATGTCACTGAGCATATAGTGAGTGTGACCGATTGAAAGGGGACGCTTACTCTTCAATGGCACCTGATCCCACCTCTGACGTTTCTAGAGGTTTGTGTTTGCTCTGCTCCCGATTTGTATTGTTTCAATGGACTTTTGAGCTCGATTACTGTTTGCTATCTCCATATTTCATTGAAAAATTAGAATTATCGACTGTAATCTATTGTTTATGGACCTTAAACTATAGTTAACGACGTTAATCTAAATTTCACATTTCTAAATCATAATAACTGCCTTAATCTATGTTTCACAAGTGTAAACTATACTAAAAAGTGAAGAAAAAAACTCATATGTGATTGCAAAGCATACCTTATCTAATAAAAAAGGTTTCACGACTTGTTAACAATAGTTTACTACTCTAAACTATAGTTAACGAATGTCAAGTATAGTTTACGGTTGTTAGGTAAAGTTTACAGACTCTAAACTATAGTTAACGAATGTCAAGTATAGTTTACGGTTGTTAGGTAAAGTTTACAGATATTTCTGCTGCCGTATTGTGATAAATATTATGTTGTTTTTACATTTGAGAAACACAGTTTTACGACAGAATCTCTGATTTTGTATCGGAGATGCACAATTTTCTGTGAAACTATATTTCACGACTCTAAACCCTAGTTTACGATCAAAACTACGGTTAACAACATCTTTGTTCGTAACTCCTACATAGGGATAAGCCTAGATACAGCTGCAACGATTATTTTCATTGGTTGTTAAAAATATATTACTTGATGACATAAAATATTTTAAAGCAAATTTAATAGGAAATGGAAAAAATGACAGGACAATTATTGGTTAAAATTAATTTCTTATCATTTATTCGTCTTATCAGCCTATTGCATCGTAGATCAGTAGATCAGACAAAAATGGCTGAACATTTCATGTATCAAACAAGTTGCTGAAAGTTTGATTTATTTGAGATGATCCAGAGAATTCCGCTTATATGATGCAGGATTTGTATTTCATTTAATTTTTTATACAGAACTTATGCCAACCCACATTTTGTATTGCCTCTCGAGATTGGTTCCACGAGATTTCGAATTGAATACTATAGTTAAAAGATGTTTAGATTCATAAACCACATGAATATATATTTATCAACTTTTATCAATAGTTTACGAGTGCGACTTATAGTTTAAAATATTAACAGCAGTGAAAGAAAAATTTTAACAACAGTGAAAGAGAAGCTTCAACAATGTGCAATAATATAATTTAGAAGTGGTGTAAATCAAATGTGGATTCTAAAAAAATCGGGGAATTTTTGGAAAACTTAAAATCACAAAATTTTACGAAAATAAATAACATCAACACTCACGACGTTTATACTTCATAAACTACCGCTCTTCACGATAAATTAAAGTTCAGGCTTTTTGACATCATTGACAGCTGCTTTGTCAATAAAAATGAAACTCGGAAATCTACTTAAGTTGTCATCGGTCATTTGCAAAATTATTTTGTGAAAAACATTCTGATTGTACACACAAGTACACTAAATATGATATTAAAAAGATGCTCAAGATTCTGATTGACAACTTCTAGGTGTTTTTGGAGACCAGGTCTTCCAACAATCTGTTGGAATTTCTATGGGTACCAATTGCGGCCCGTTATTAGCAAACATATTTTTTGTATTCACATGAAGCAGATTTTGTTCAAAATACCTTATACATGAGAAAAAAAAAACACAAATGCTATGGCCTTCAACTCGACATTGAGATACCGACGACGAATTATCTATTAACAATAGTTATTTCCATTCATTTGGAAATCACATTCATATCATACGATATATCACAGTGAGCTTGAAATAAAAGATACCACAGAGTCTAACACATCTGTTTCATATTTGGATATTTCACAAGAAAAAGACTTAATGGTAATCTAACAATTAAGCGTTATGATAAACTCATTGTTAAGCCATTATTTACACACTGAATTGTCTACGGATTTTTCCGTTATTTTCCGATCATGACATGGAGCACACGCCAGAGAATGGCACCTGATCCCACCTCCGATGTTTGAAGGTCCGTGTTTTCTCTGCTAATTAAATTGTTTAACGGACCTTTGAGCTTGAAGACTGTTCGTTATCCCCATATACCCCATTTAAGATTCTTAAATATGATTAACACTTGTGAATCATACTTTATGTCTTATCGTTAATGGTCGTTAATTATAGCAGTTTAGGAATATAAATGACAAACAATTAGGGATTATGGCCGAAATCTATCATTAAGGAATGTAAAATATAGTTTATTTGATGAATGTATATTTTCACGATTTGTTAAACTATGATGAAAAACTCTTAACTATGGATAACGAATGTATACTATACTTTATATTTATCAACAAAATTAATCGATGACGTTTATTCATTTAAATATTGTTGGACGGGCAAGACAGGACACGGACAAAATAGTTACAAGCATCCCACCAATAAGATACTGAAAGAGGGAGATCACAATTTTTTCAATTTGCTTCTAAACTTTAGTTGTCCAAGTCCAAGATTTTTAAAGCATTGTTTACAATACTAATCAATATACTCATACTAGCTATGGTTTTGTGATGATAATAATAATAAACGCAAGTGATTATGGACTAGAACACACTGTAGTCTGATAATTTTATATAACAGATGTTATCAACCAACAGTATCGTTTAATATTCTAAGAACAGTATCGTTAAGCCATGTTTTTGGCATGAGGTTATTTTGAAATGTACGTCAGGGAAGGAGGGAGAGGGGTCAAAGATATGAAAAAAAGATAATTCTTATAAAGAAAGGTTAATGAAGAAAATGATAAAATTCTTACAGTCTATAGTATGTAGTTACATATCCCTCATTACAGATGTAGGTTTGTGATCCGTAACCCGATTGTGTATAAGTACACGCTGCATCGACATTTCCTAGAAACATGAGAAAAAATATTCTAAGTAACACATATATTTACAAATATAATTTTTATATGGAACTTATAGGGAAGATTCCATTTACAATTCAAAGTAATTAAAATTGAATTCATATTGTGCGATCATTTTTGAAATCATTTGTATGAATTGATGCAAATTAAATTGCAATGGTAATGAATGGTTATTACTTTTTAATGGAATAATAATCGGAATCAAAGAGAACACTATTGGATACCTGTCAGGTAGATCAAAACGGCAAACTTGCACAGAATATACCAGGCGGCCATGTTTTAAAAGATCCAAGTCAAAATGCCTCCCTTTGTTTTACGAAATGCGCATTCAAATTAGGGCATTTAATTTAGTACACACAGTGGTATATGTACATGCTTCAAGTATTAAGAATAGGCTTTTTATAAACAGGTGTAAGATATATATATGATTCTAATTTTAAAAGACCGTCGTGGCCTTTTTTATTTAAGGCACATCACAGCGATTTGAGGTTTACTTGAAGTTAGATCGAGGTGGGAGAGGAGACTTACCAAGACACAATCCTTGTAGCTAAATTTAATGTATGATTTGAAAAAAAAATCCGAAAGCAGAGTGGTACCCTTATCACAATCTTCATACATTAAGGTCATTTATTACATATTTAGTAACAAATAAAGGATTTTTTGCACATGCGATATGCGCCGTATCAGCCCTGAAGGCCTAGGGCTGATATGTATCTGTGGGGCTGATACGGATTAATATTACACCCCTAGTAAATTAAACCTTTAAAGCAGTACTTGGGATAATGCACATATTTTTTTTATTGTTCAGATTCTCCTAATTTTAAATTACTGGTCTTTGATACAATAAGCTCAATATTAATTATCAGTAGTCAGTGCATGATTATTTATTTGTATTTTTCTCAAGTTGAGGTGTGCTGTATTTTTTATTACTAAGTATGTAATACAGTATATTATCCACAAGACATCCTGTATCAGCGTTCGACCAATATCAGCCTTCGGGTCCTCGGCCATCTGGCTGATATTGGTTTCTCGGGCTGATACAGGATGTGATACGGAAAAGGGTATGTATTATTTATATATTTCTACACATCCTCTACAAATCAAATATCAATTCCTTTCATCTTAACAAAATACGTGACTATGATAAAAAAGTGTATATTAGATAAGTAATATTTGATATTTTCAATTGAATATACAAGTATTACAAGCTTATTTACATAGACTTCTTTTGAATTCAGATCATGATGAAGCAATGAAATTGTACTTTATTTATTTTATCAATTATAAGAAGGAACTCTAAAAGAATTTTAGCTGCACTGAAACTCTTGAGATCGAGATTGAACTTTTTGAGATCGATCACTGTTCGTTATATTTACCTTTTTCATTGATAAGGTATAAATAAGTATCTAGGTAGTATTATTTCCTTACCTGTGCAGTAGGTGGGCCAAAACCTTGGTTTAGGTTTCGACAGCTTACCTGCCTTATAATACCTATATAGTTTATATATTCCACCAGTAAATGTAAACTGTTAAATAAAACTGAAAGATACTGACATCCATGTCAATTGTAAATAATTCATGCTCACAAATACTAGTATGCAATGCAATGATATAAACATTTTATTAAAATACCACTGACTGGATTTTATAAAAATACTCTTTCTTAAAACATTTACAATATCTCAGCGTTACAAAATGATACATTCAGTTTATTTACAGAAGAAAAATGTTCCTAAATGGAGGCATGTACTAGGCTGTATTTTCTCAAGAGTGTGTGTTAGTTTCGCGGTCCGTATCGTTTACTATATCATACAATTGCCATGAACTCGGAATAATCTTCCCCAGAGACTCAAGGTCTATTGATCCGTGGCCTGCAGGCTGGAGATCGGGGCCAGGAGTTTTACTCAGAGGCTGTGTTTCTGTGTGCTCTCAGTTACAGAGAGCCTGGGAAAAAAGGTATGTTATTTTATTTATCCATGCACACTTCTTCAATGAATATTGATTTCAAATCTGTAATTCATTTTTGCAATGAAATTTTTAAAATTTTAATGCTTGCGTATCATCTATAACCTATATAATTCAAACGTCTTTACAGTTTTCTGTTGTAGAGCGTTTTCACAAGCAACTGAATACATTATGAGAATGTACGATGCTTTTTCACTAGCTAGCTTTCATCTAGAGTGTTCCTTGACGTGATGGGAATTATGATCCTTTACAGCAGAATTGTCGTCAAGCTCTTAATAATATATTAAGAACCATTTAAATTATTTTTTACCGTTCATAATTTCTAACTAAATCTAAGTGTTAGTGACGTAAAATGAATTTTTAACATTACGAGTTACACGTAGTTTGTGTCACATGTTCCACAGAAATGGTGCAGTAGATGCCGATACGACTTTTACATAACTCTGCACAATCGATGCATTGAGTTGTATCTAAATAAGTAGCTCTTACGAATAACGGAATCAATAATGCTTTAGCTCTATCTGCAGTGTATGTTATATCTTCACACTTCCCTTGTAAGAGAAAACACTATTACACAGTGTATTTGTAGTCCATGTACATTAAAACATCAAATCAATACATGTTTTGATAGAAACCTCTCATCGTTGCATCACAACATATAAAATGCAAGTACATGTAGAGATATTGCACGTAGCAGCTGAATCGTAACTGAGTTATCAGATGAATTATTTACTAACTATAAATCATCTTGTACCGATGTAAGTATTCTGAAGGGAAATTAAGAAAATGGATGCATGCGGAAATATCAAGTATTCGCCTCTATTTTTGATCACTTGTATCACATACTGAAAACCAGGGCAATAATGATGGTATTGTTTCATGAAAAATAGCTATAAAATATAGTTTGGATGTTTTCACAGACTAAGAATTGGTATCTTAAAAATCATTTTAAAAAATGCATGTTCAAAGTGAGTTGTGCTTGTGAAAGATAGTTGCGGGATATATTTTGTTGATAAATTACTGTACCTTCAATTAATACATTAAGTTGGGAAGTGTTTGATAAACCTTTCCTATCTTGCACAAAAAATTAAACGCTCATTCCTCCAGAACCAATTCAGATTCTGTTTTCTTCAGCAGAAAAAAAGACAGAAATCAGGCGTGGTCTTGTATTTATTGTTCATTAATTTTTATCTAATCCTTGGAATAATTAGGTCAAGAAAAAAAAAATTTCTGATAGCCTTATCCATGTGTTTAGAAAACTCTCATGTCAACGTTCTCTTTTGAGGTAAAATGGAATTCACAAGCAAAAATACATTAGATGTTGATGAAATTTTTGAAACTTTGGAAGAATCTGGTTGATCAAATGAAGCAAATGAATTCAGCGCTTTTATAAGAAATTTACACCCATTAACAATAATACATAAATATACATTCATCTCTGTAAAAATAATTTCAGGATTATATTAAGACAAATTTATAAACCATATACTAATGCGATATTATTTTCATTCGAGGGGTCATTTTCATGGGCAATCAAAATTCATGGGGACGTAATTTCGTAGATAATTCGCGTATAATCAGATTTACTGAAGCGCCATGTTGACAATGTTACGATTCGGGAACTCTAAATTCGTGGTAAATAATGACCCACGAGATCCATGAACATTGGTTCCCTACGAGCAACGATGATTCCACTGTCTTGTTAACATGCAACTTCTATTTTTCTAGATTTCTGGCACCTACTGTACAAATTACGGCGATGACTTATCCGCGCTACAATGCTGACTTTGCTGTCAAGATTTTGTGTCTTCTATTTGTACCTGTGGTCACCCTGAATAAAACAATTAGTGAGTCTGAATTTATTTCACAGCAATTGTAAAAATAAATAAAAATCAAGCATTCTGATATTTCACCTTCAGAATACAATTATCATGCAAATTCAACCATTTTTTCTTTGCATTGTGATGACATAAAGAATCTCTTAGAAACGCTATAATTCAAAGGCAAATACACATAGAGGTTTGAATTTTTTTCTTTCCTCTCTTCACTTCAATAATTAAGTTTGTGTCTATGCTAATAGTACACCTAGATACTTCAGAGGATAGAAACTGTGGAGGGATATACAACATCTCGTCTGAAAACGAGATCAGCTTAGTGGCAAGCGGAAGACTTCATGGTGGCACATGCGCAGTGACTTTTCGCACTGATAACCATAGCAGTTTAAAGTGCGGGAAAATTTGCATTAAGATGACAATCTCTCAGCTTCAGACTTGCGACATGAAAATGCTGTTCGTACCTGTAGTATTCGACAAATCAAAAGTCGAAAATCCTAAGGTAAGAATATATTTTGGGTCAGTGATGTTAAAAATTATATGATCAAATTCCAACGTAGGTGACTCATTTTGACACACGGTACGCAAATCTCATTCTCTATTTTCGATGGCCAGCAGGTAAAAGAAACATTTCAATAATGGTGGTCAGGATAAAAAAAAAACATCACTGAGTGCGGGCGATTGAGTTGTTTATACTTTAATATTTACATTTCCGAGTATTTTTCCTTAAGATTCTTTGCAAATTAGATGATTGTTCATTTTCTCATGAACTACCATGAGATGAGCAAGAATATCTCCATTGTGACGACATAATATCGTACTTGAGGTCAAAACTATAGTGCAAACTGTTTTGCTTCAAAAATGACAGTTGAATGGCGTAACTTGTGGAAACTCATCAAAAAAATAATGTAAATATAAGAAATGAATTTAATTTTTGAAGATTCATGAGGTACATGAACTACAACGCTTCACGCCGGCATATTTATCATGAAGCGCTAACGCGCTTCATGAAATATGCCGGCGTGAAGCGTCGTAGTTCATGTCCTCATGAATCTTCAAAAATTATATTCATTTCTTAAATATTTACATTTCCAAATATTTTCCCTTAAGATTCTTTGCAAATTAGAAGACTGTTCATTTTCTCATGAACTACCATGGATGAGCATGAATATCTCCATTGTTACGCCATAATACCGCACTCGACGTCAAAACTATAGTGCAAACTGTTTTGCTTAAAAAATGATAGTTGAATAGCGTCATTTATGGTGACTCATCAGAAAAATAATGTAAATATAAGAAATGAATTTAATTTTTGAAAATTCATGAGGTACATGAACTACAACGCTTCACGCCGGCATATTTATCATGAAACGCTAACGCGCTTCATGAAATATGACGTCGTGAAGCGTCGTAGTTCATGTCCTCATGAATCTTCAAAAATTAAATTCATTTCTTAAATAAAGTGTGGTTGTTAGCTTCGGTACGCAAATAATTTTTTTTAAATTATAAGATAGTTAACATTTTTACTGTGTAATATGTGGAGATAACGAACAGCATTCGAGCTTAAAAGTCCATTAAACATTCAAAATAGGAGCAAAGCAAACACGGACCTCTAAGACATCAGAGGTCGGAGCAGGTGCCATGGAGGAGTGAGCATCCCCTGCCAACCAGTCACACCCGCCATGTGCTCCTTGTCATGATCGGGAAATAACAGAAAAATCCGTCGAAAATTCAGCTTGTAAATAATGGCCTAAAAATTAGTATGAAAAAAGTCAGTAAGCATTTGACTTAAGGTCAAGATCTAGTAAATGACTTTAAACTAACTTTTTGGTGCTAGATCCATTATGACGTCATAATCAATTTTACTTTCTTTTTCCCGTACTTTACGGCTCTAATAGAATTATGTAGAAAATAAAGTATTTTCATGGAATTCAATTTGAAATCATGTGAAAAGTAATTCCGATACCTATATTCAATTTAATATTATTTTAAAGAAGAGGCCAAGAACATACAAATTATCGTTTTCTAAGAGACTGTAGGCAATCTGGATACATTTCCTTTGTCTGATATGGAAAAAACTCCCGTATTCATGTCTGGTTTTCTTAATTTTTTCATTGAAAATGACAGTTTAAAATATGATTTTTCACCTTGTTCATCTACAAATTATGCCCCGAAACACCTTATTTGACCAAGCTAAAGTTATAAAGCATCATTAAAGGAATATTTCTCAAATTTGAGAAATCTGTAGGCACCTTTCATTTACTAGATCTTGACCTTAATGAAAGATTGTATTTGCTGACAAGGTCATTGTATCGACGATAAAATTTACGAAATGATGACTTTAAACGAGACTGCTGAAATTCTTGTTTCATCAACTTGATTACTCTGTTGGATATTGCTAGAAATTAATTATTCTTAAAGATATATTGACTGAAGAATATATTTTTGTTTATTTTAGGTTCAATATATATTCTTAAAAGTAATCAATATGAATGACTATTACATCAATAAAGAAATACTACAGAGAACTTAACCATAAATAGGATTTTCAGAGAGATGGTCCAGTTATTTTGATATTGGACTGGGTATGACATTAGCTATCGTTATTGACCCAAATGCGTCGCATCTAGTTAGATGTCGTTTTTCCGGTGTGACGGAAGTACCCAAATTAGTCCGCAAAAGTAATCCATTTAAAAATGATTCTTATCTGTCAGCTTTTGATAATGAAGAAGAAAATTATTGTTAAAGAATAGCCTAACATTTAATGTAATAGATGTATGCCTTTGCCAATGATTTTGTTAAACAGAATTAAATAGAATATATGTATTTGTGCGTTTTAATAGCTGTTGGTTACATCTATATGTTAATGGAGGATATAACAAAAGGTTATTGAATGACAAAAATTAGCCAATCGCCTTCAGCTTTAATATGGGCAACATTTTAGTCCACGGGTCCACAACATATACCCATATGTTTCACCGATATTCAGCTAATACAGTCATGTATAAATGTACTGTATATGTGATGTTATTACCTAGCTATTTTGAATAAATGTCCGCCTCATACTTATTCGTACTTAGTTTTCACTAATTACATTATGTAAAAAAAATCCCCTTCTTCATTATTAAGGCTAATGTGCTTACTGTTAATTTCAGAGCTTCGATTGCCGATCGCCTTTCCCCGACGCTTGGTGTCCATCGGCTGACGTTTTATACGTCCTCCTGACGGAGAGCAATCGGTATCCCCGGACAACAGAAAACCATTACAAGTTTGAAATTGACGTCACGCCACAGTGCGTCACCAAGAGAGACAAAACAAAAGAGAGAGAAGCCAAAATCTGTAAGATATTATAATATTGTAAATCGTAATGCATAAGTGTATCAGCTTCCTTGCTATCTTCTCTATTTCTCCCGCTTCATGAAAGTTACTGGTAACAAATAAAAATACTTCAATCCAAATATGAAATCTGGTTTCCGATTTTCAACACATCTTCTCTTACAAAATCCTCAAAGAACAGGTTTCTGCTTCATGTTTTTATCATCCTCGTCCTTGAGACGCTTCATTCAGAGATAACTATTTGCTGTTCACAATAACCGGTCCACCATTTGCTTTTTACAGTACCACTAAGTACTGCATGCTCCTTTTTCCTTGTAATCATGTAATCTAGAGATACTAATTCAATTTTCTCTAACCAGTTATCATATATATTGTTCTATTCATTTTATTTGTTTAATTAAGCGTACACGTATCATGAGAAGAAAAGTGTAAGAGAAAAGTGGATCTATATAGAGGGCGTTATTGTCAGTATTTGCCTCGCTTCTATTTTCCTGGTGGCTCTGGTTGTTCTGTACTGTTACTACAAAGCTCAGAAGGAAAACGGACCATCCCGTAGTGATGTTCCCAAAAGTTCAAGTAAAAGTATTTACAAGAATTTTTATCCTATATGTAGTTCAATCGGGGATGTACAGATAAGTCTGCAAAGAACATCCTCAGTACCATCTCAGTTAAGTCGAGCTAGAGACCAGATAGAACAGATTTACTATTATATATTTATATTTCCAAATATTTTTCCTTAAGAATCTTTGCAAATAAGAAAAAAGTATACATTCTCATGAACTACCGTGGGATGATTAAGAATATGCTTTTTTGATAGCCTTATTTGATATCACTTCGTGTTGCATAAGAATAACACTTATTGATTAAATCTAAATGCAGTTTTGAAAATACCAAAAGATTAACAACAACAAAACATATTTTTTTCAGAGCCTATTCTTTCAAATGTCAGATCAAAGTTGCCATTTCGATCTCATAAACGAAAGAGTCATGACAGCGCAAGATCTTCTGAAAGCTACCAGAAAATTATGGACACTGACCAGAATCTCAAACCGGATGTGGAAGTGAGTGATATAATGCAGGACCGCACTGACTCAGCATCCACGCTTGTGGTTGGTCTAGACAATAAGCGGGTCGCAGAAAATCAAGTTTAACAATATATACATCTGAAACACTAATGCCTTTATCCAATCGAAAATTGCCCCAGCGCTAACCAACCAATTTCTATCTCTGTTGATATTCAGGACACGTGTGTAAAATGTTTCGCAAAATATCGTAAGGCATTACTAGAACTCTGTTTTGTGAGTGCCCTATAGTGATCAGTCTGCCTGTCCTTCCGAATTTATTTGTCCGGAGAATATTATGTCTCCCTTTGGCCCATTCAGTCTCAAACTTCACCCATAGATTGCCCGTAGGAAGAGGGTGTGCACTGACCTTGAACCAATTTTCTCGACCAAAGATCAAGATCGGTAAAACCTCTCTGTGTAAAATCCTTGTGTGGAGTATATTTTCTTCTCCCTTTGGTCTTGCCTGGCTCAAACTTAACCATAGAGTTCTAATAGCTAGAAAGTTGCAGTGATCTTGAACCAATTTCCTAAGCATGTGGTCAAGGTCAGACAACCACTTTTTGTAAAATCCTTCTCCGGAGAATATTTTGTTTCGCCCCAGCTCATCTGACTCGAACTTCACCCGAAAAAAATCCCATGGGTAGTTGGTGTGCAGTGACCTTAAACAAATTTTCTAGATGAAAGGTCAAGGTCAGAAATCCTTTTTGCATCAAAAATCCTTGTCCAGAGTATGCATCTCTTTCCGTCGCAGTCAGGCTCAAACTTCGTCCATAGAGTACCCGTGGGTAGAGGGAATGCAGTGATGAAATATGAAGATAACGAACAGTATTCAATCTCGAACGTCCAATGAAACGATACAAATTTGGAGCAAAGCAAACACGGACCTCAAAATTTAGAGGTGGGATCAGGTGCCATGGGATCTTGAATCAATTTTCCAATCGAAGGACAAGGTCGAAAAACTCCTCTGCGTAAAATCCTTTTCCGGAGCATTTTTCCTCGGCTACAAATTTACCATAGAGTTTTCATTGGTAGAAGGCGTGCCGTGACCATAAACCAATTTTCTACATATACATGTATAAGGTGAAGGTCAGAAAACCTCTGTGTAAACTTGTCCGGTGCATATTTTCTTTCCCCTTGGCCTTATTTGGCTTAAACTTTACCCATAGTATCCCTATGGGTAGAAGGTGTGAAGTGATCTTGAACTAATTTTCTCGATCAAAATTCAAAGTTGAATACTAGTAACCTCTCTGCGTAAAATCCTTGTCTAAAGCATATGTTCTCTCCCATTGGCCCAATCAGGCTCAAACTTCACCTATAAAGTGCCTGTTAGTAGAGGTTGTGCAGTGTCCTTGAACCGGTTTTCTAGATGAAAGGTCAGGGTTGAAAAACCTCTCTGTGTAAATTCCTTGTTCACAGCATATTTTCTCTCCCCTTTGGCCTAGTTGGACTAATACTTCACCCATAGAGCGCCAATATGTAGAGAGTGTGCAGTGATCTTGTATCAATCTTTATAGATGAAAGGTCTGGGTTGGAAAACCTCTGATTTAAATCCTTATCCTTGGCATATTTTCACATTCCTTGGCCCAGTCTGACTTAAACTTCACCCATAAGAGTGTCCACTGGTAGAGTGTGTGCAGTGTCCTTGAGTTAAGTTTCTAGGTCAGTGGTCAAGGTCATTGTAACTCTGTGTAAAATCTTTTTCTCACATTGTCCCCGTCAGGCTCAAACATCAACAAAGAGAGTCCTTGGATAAAGAGGCTTACATCTTAATATTCTTTACTAAAAGCGATGCCCTTTAAGATGGTCACCATCTCAGATATGTTACGTTTTATCTAATTAACCTCTAGCTTACCATTTAACAGAATGACATCATTTTCAAAAATGTTTGTCTTGTTTTTTTTATTAAATTATTTGAATATTTGATTCAATTGTTATTTAATTAGCTACTGTCATTTTTGCTGATATTTTTTAACTGTGCAATTCGTTATGGCTGTACGTCATATTTTGTACTTTTAATTCATTTGTGTGTGTGTGATTTGAATATGCAAATGAGAACTTTTTTTAGGTAACAGTTGCTTTCTTCATAATTGTCCGTGTTGGACTGCATTGAAATCACGTTTTTGGAGGTATATATGTGTGGGATTATATCCTTAAATATTAAGAGGGCAATATTGTCAATTGTATTTTTTAAACAAAGTTGTACTGTAAGATTATTCTAAAACATTTTTGTCTTTTGCATTTTGAATGTTTTTATATTACATATGCACGTTTTGAAAATCAAAAATGAATCACAACTGAAATCGCTCTGTGGTTATCATTCAACCATTGTCTATTTGCTTGTATTATATTTACATAAGATGTCAAGGTCTAAGTTTCACCTAAAAACAACAAATGGGGTGTGAATAGCACAATAGTCAAAGTTGTTTAAAACTCACAAGCTAATATGTGTATATAATTATTTTAAGGGATGTCAACGAATATTCGAATATTCAAATATTCATTCGATGAGTTGATATTCGAATATGAATTTAAGATTCGAATATTCGGTGTTTTTTTCAGATTTCATAAAAAGAAGTACTGTGATTAATAAATTTTGATTAGAACAGTGCTGGAATTATCCCTGTTTAATTTATTAGCGATCAATTTCGATCGCCTGATTTCTTTCACTACTTTCTTATCTTACGTATCTACTAAATTATTGTACCCCCCGCTTGAAAAGTGGGAGGGTATATAGTGATCGGGGTGTCCGTCCGTCTGTTACGCTTTGGGGTACCTATCTCTTATCCGCAACTCCTCTTATACCACTGAATGAAATTTAATGAGACTTTCACAGAATCTTTGTTACATCGTGCCATTGTGCACCTCCTATTTTACTTTTTGATCTGACACTTATTTTGGGTCTCTCAGGGCAAAACATGGACTTTGCCATTATAATCATATGGGAGGCGGGGGGGGGGGGGGTATCATTTAGTGAGCTCAGTGCTCACAGTACCTCTACTTTTGTTTTGAGTGAGGTGTTTAAGAATTATTCAGTAATGCTTTATGTATAATACTAAACGTACTTTCCTAGTTTTTATTAAATAAATATGATCGGATCTAGAATCCAGGACAACAAAATGAAAACCTTCTTAGAATGTTTAAAAGACGTGAAGAGTATACTTATCAAAATTTGATTGATCATCGAATGAATGTCCGATAGAATTAGTCTGTAATTAATATTGTAAAGGGCTCAGTTTCAGAATAAATATGTAAATTACTTGATTATCTCGGGTTGTACATATCCTGAATTTTATATTCATTATCGGAAAACTAGTTAATTACCTAGGAAAATTGTCTATGGAAATATTTGTTTATAATTTAAAAAACATTGTATCAAAGATTATAATCATATCTCTTATTAGGCTGATAATTGTAATTAATTACACGTATTGAAATCTGAACAGTATACGACTATCTTGCCTTTGGTAAGACGATTGGTTCCCCAGTTGGAGCTACTATAAATACACATGTATCATTTGTTAAATTAATACTTTTCTACATTTAAATCAATTATTTATTTCAAACATTCACAAATATCAGATGGAATTCCTTATCGTACACCTACAAAAGTCTTCATACACTTCCAATATAAGTATACCTACTCTAAACCTTTCATGAGAGTAGGATGATGCATATTTAAAATAAACCAGATTTTATTTATATTTTATCGAATATTCGAATGTACATGTATTCGAATACTTTCATTGAATATGCGAATATGAATTATTGACAAAATTGACATCCCTACCTAATTATTATATATCTAAAATTCTACATATTGTAGTAAGCGAAAACTGGAAGATTTTTCAATGAATGGCAAGTACTATTATAGAAAACCTGGAAGGCTAATTTTAAAGGTTAAATCATTTATATGTACATGACTGTATAAGCCTCTGATAAGTCCAATCATTATACTAATCTGACGTATTTATGCATGTCAAAACTTACTAGTATTATTGTAAATATTCTTTGCAATGTTATATTTTGTTCTATTCAACTGTCAATAAAAAAAATACACGCTTCACATTCTTCCATGACATTAAATTCGAACTGTTTTTTTTTTTTTTAAACAAGATTTAAAGATCTGGTTTAGTGGGACTGACATACTCAAAAGAGGAAGCCATCAGAAAATATATCTATAGCATGTATTAATTTGTTTAATTCCTATTATTTTAGGAGGTTCCTTTATAATACGAGGGGTGATCAAAAAGTTCGCGAACTAATTGAATTATTTCTTTAAAAAAAATAAAATAACGTTTCAGTGTTTATTATTTTTTTTAAGTAGTCCTCTCCAATTTTTAATGCACATCTGCCATTGTTCTTCCCATGCGCGAATCACGTGATCCAGGCAGTCACGTGACATGCTCTGAAGCAGTCTGTTCAGAGAAGCTAAAAGATTTTTCCGAGTCTTATATTTCTTACCATGCAAGTTATTTTTTATAACAAAAACAGTCCATCTGTCAGAAATGGCCAAATCTCGGCGATAGGATGGATGGATAAGGATATCCCTTCCCACAATTAGTATGGTGACCCATCAAAACCCGAGTCCTCTGTCTCGGGAGAGTTGTTTATCCAATGTGGATAAAGGATGGGCGCCTTCTTTTCATCATATCTCATATGTTTATAGTCTAAAGTAAACGATATTTTAGAGCTTTAATAATTATATTATTGTTAAGATATACATGTACAACTATTTTCCTAATTGTTACTTGACGATGTTTCATAACAAATTACTCAACTAAGGACACATCTTTTCCCCGGCTTGCTTTCGCTGGGCAACAGAACAACCATCATTTTTAACCGTCTCCCTGTCTTTACTTAAACAATCAATCCAATTAATGATTGAACTTCTGGTAAGTCTTTTGTCTTCATAAACCTTGTACAAATTATCATATTCTACTGCAAAGGAATTTCCAAGATATACGTTAAACTTTACAGCCGTTCGTTGCTCGAGTACGACCGAGTCAACCATTTTTTGTCACAAGTGACCTACATATTGACGTCATTTTCACATTGTGACGTCACAAACACGGAGCAAGACATTATTTAACATATGCTATTTATAGAACATGTGTATGACTATATGTGTGCGATCTGAATTGTGGTTTTGTAAATACATGTATAGAGATAGTTCGCGAACTTTTTGATCACCCCTCGTAGTCTCTTTTAGCATTTTTTTTTAAATCCTTCGGTCGTACACCAATTGATATATACTGAATGGTTTCAGTCGTTGCCTGTCTCTGTATGTTATACGTAAGATTGATTGATTGTATGTAGTTTTACGTCCCATTCTAGAATTTTTCACTCATATAGAGACGTCACCATATACCAATTTTGACCTTTACTCGGCACTCAGGGTCATTGAGCAGTGAGGGATCTTTATCTTGCAAATACCTGCCGTGACACGGGGCCTCGGTTTTTAAGGTCTCATCCGAAGGACCCGCAGCTTTCACTTCAAAGTGCCGAGCGCATGGCGAAGGAACAGTTGCTACCCATTTAGGTCAGTCGCGGCCGAGATTCGAACTAACGACCTCCCGATTACGGAGAGAGCGCTCTACCGACAGAGCTTAATACGTAAGTAGTTAGGTAGGTATTTCACATTCTCTTCCTCTCCAGAAGCATCGGGACTATTTCAACCAAACTTTTACAAAGCATTCTTGGTTTAGGAATATATTTGGTTAATTATATATAAAGATTGAAGGAATATTTCTTTTAAAAGTTTGAAAAATAGAGTGGCTTCATTTATCAGAGCCAAAGAAAGTAATATAAAAACAAAATGCCCATGAATTGTAAATTTAATTTTATTCAAATCATAGTCACCAGGGCTAGAAAACGGTTTACAGTAAGGTGTCAAATTGTAAAATTTATGTATATAAATCTTTAAGCAGGACCACATTTGGCCATTTGCATAATTATGCAAGTATTTCCATGTAGTTCAGATTCAAATCTGTTCAAATCGTTTTGTTGCCTTGGTGAGGCCCCATTACGAGTCCGAGGTTATATATATATATATATATATATATATATATATATATATATATATATATATATATATATATATAGACATAAAAATATTAATAACAAAGAAGACGTCCATGGACAACAACGCTCACTCGACGTAAATACATGTACCTAGATATTTGAAATCGATACTATAACCATTAAATTTTTAAAACATATGAATTAAAACAATATATCATTGGTTTATAAATCAACGAGTATTGATGTCCAGTTAACAAACTGTAACCGCGTTGTATTTACATCGAGTTCAAAGTTGGAAATTCTGGAATCTGTTAAATACTGTAGATTTCAACTGAATAAAAATACCGCAAAATCTAAACTCCTTAGTGTGCAGTGTATAGACGGTCATTAAGCTTACAGTTTGATATTTGAATTCATTTTCCATGTAGATGATTTCTATTAGTTTATTTTAGTTCATTGTGAAAAACTTAGTGCAGCATTCAAAGTTTGTAATTTGAAAATAGAAATGTAATATCTAAAATCTTACGAAAACGATTTTTTTACTTAGAATTTCTAGAATAGAAGTAAAGATTCCTAATACGGTATAGTAAACGACCTTTCTTCAAATATGTACGCAAATGCTTCAATCAATATAAATTTGAAAACGTTTTTCATGCACCGTTTTAAACATCTGACGTTGAAAAACTGGCGGCGGCGCATTAGAATGTCAATCAAATATTTCGAACTTTTATTCAATCTTACAGAAACTCGAAGAAAAATTAAAATGCTCACACATGTTAGGTATACATAGAAATGTTCCTTAGTATTAAATTGAATGGTGCGATTTTTTTGTGAAGAGCAAAATGAGAAAGAAAACGCATTAAGATTGTCAAATTGAAACTCCAATCTCATTCGGGAAAGGAGACAAAAAAAATCCCTTAGAAATATAGGCTATTGAATTATTGTTTTTATTGGATTCGTGTACTTGTAAATATACTTTGTTCGTATATTCTAATGATAAGTGTATGATATTTGACTATATCTAAAATCTTTATGATTAATTACAGTGTTTGATTCTGGTAATTGGTATATTTTCTCAAATATTCAAACCGGTGACATTTATCGTTTTTGATATTCCTCCTGCTGATAGGAAACAGTAATACTACAATAATTATTCTAATTCATCCCTTTCTTTTAAAATAATCATTTTAAAACTTCTTACTTCATCAACCAACAATACACCTTTATACACATGGAACAGAATTTTCAAAAGAAATGATAATTTTTGTAAAAGATATGAGCTCAGTCTACGGAATTTTGGGACAACTTTCAAAGAGTGAGCTTAGGATTACCTTTCATTTTATAAAATAAATAAATTTAAAAGCCAATATGATAAAGCAAAGTATTCTTGATTGAGAATAAGGATACTGAAGTTTACCTCCCCTTTCTGAATCTTGGTATGTATTTAAAAAAAGTCAGACATTCAATAAAAAAGTAAAACTAACATAAGATTTTACACTTAGATCTATTCACAATAATAAAAACTCAATTAGCCTAATGATTTATGGTTGAATAAGTACCTATATTAACAGAGCAGATTACAATAGCACCGAGGAAGATGGTCGGTATAATGTGCATAATAAAAACATATGTTTGTAATTTCCCCTGGAGGTATACAAACATGAAATATTTGTCCGTATGAAAGTAAATCTCTTCTAAAGGAAGGATGTAGGAAGCAGATTTATTTCCTCTTTAATTGCTTCATGCACAAAGTGCATACAATGCCTTTCTGTGTACATTAAAAGGACATTAATCAACTATACTGTACTGAACTACGTGGAATAAAATATCTAGTTAATTTGATGTAATATGTAAACGACAGTTTTTACTTGAACCGAGTCTCATCAATCGTTGTAGAATTTTCTTGAACAAGGATGTATAATATAT